TGTCCTGTTGTCCTCATACATGTCCTGATGTCCTCATACATGTCCTGTACCAGTCTAACATATTTCTCTATCACTCCAAATTTCCTCGTGCAATACCACACCTCCTCCCTTGATATCCTGTCATATGCTTTTTCTAAATCTACAAAAATATAATAAAGTTCTTTCTTACTCTCAGTACTTCTCCATCAGTACCCTCAAATCAAAGATGGAATCTGTGGTGCTCTTTCTTGGCATAAAACCATAATTCTGCTCACAGATAGTCAACTCTCGTCTAAGTCTAGTTTCCACAACTCTCTCCCAGATCTTCATCATGTGGCTCATCAACTTAATTCCCCTGTAGTTGTTACAACTCTGTACATCACCTTTGTTCTTAAAATGGACATCAGCAACTTCTTCTTCATTTCTCAGGCATTTTCTCACCCTCACAAATGCCATTGAATTTTTGAGTCAAAAACCTCACTGCCATCTCTCCAAGACATTTCCAAAGATCAATTGATATGTCATCAGGTCCTACTGCCTTCCCATTCTTCATTCTTTTCAGAGCTTTCAGGACTACACCCTCACTAATCTTTCCCACTTCCTGGTCCACAGTTTCTATGACCTCTACTCTTCTTTCTCTTTCATTCTCTTCATTTATTAGGTCCTCAAAGTACTCCATCCATCGTCCCGTCACACTTTCCTCACTTGTTAGAACATTACAATTCCTATCTTAAACAAGCCTAACCTGCTGCACATCCTTTCTAGCCTTATCCTTCTGTCTCGCCAATCAGTACAAGTCCTCATCACCCTCTTTAGTGTCCAGCCTCCCATACAACTCATCATATAACAAAGTCCATGCTCAATAATCCAGGTATACAATCCAACATTTTTCAGTCAGTTAGCACCAACAAAACTGGTTTGTTCCACTTTGGAGAAAGCTGTTGGGGGAAGAATCAGTTTTGTGTTGTGTGTTTCCTTGACTGATGAAGCCTTCCAAATCAAAGGCAAAGCGTTTCAGTACAAAAAATGAAAATGTCCAGATGACATGACTGAAAAATGTTGAACTCATCATATACAGTGCCTTGCGAAAGTATTCGGCCCCCTTGAACTTTTCAACCTTTTGCCACGTTTCAGGCTTCAAACATAAAGATATCAAATTTTTAATTTTTTGTGAAGAATCAACAACAAGTGGGACATAATCGTGAAGTGGAATGAAATTTATTGGATGTGTCAAACTTTTTTAACAAATAAAGAACTGAAGAGTGGGGCGTGCAACATTATTCATCCCCCTTGCGTTAATACTTTGTAGCGCCACATTTTGCTGCAGTTCCAGCTGCAAGTCTCTTGAGGTATGTCTCTGTCAGTTTTGCACATGGAGAGACTGAAATTCTTGCCCATTCTTCTTTGCAAAACAGCTCGAGCTCAGTGAGGTTGGATGGAGAGCGTTTGTGAACAGCAGTCTTCAGCTCTTTCCACAGATTCTTGATTGGATTCAGGTCTGGACTTTGACTTGGCCATTCCAACAACTGGATACGTTTATTTGTGAACCATTCCATTGTAGATTTGACTTTATGTTTTGGATCATTGTCTTGTTGGAAGATAAATCTCCGTCCCAGTCTCAGGTCTCTTGCAGACTCAAACAGGTTTTCTTCCAGAACGGTCCTGTATTTGGTCCCATCCATCTTCCCATTAATTCTGACCATTTTCCCTGTCCCTGCTGATGAAAAGCAGGCCCAAACCATGATGCTGCCACCACCATGTTTGACAGTGGGGATGGTGTGTTCAGGGTGATGAGCTGTGTTACTTTTACACCAAACATAACGTTTTGCATTGTGGCCAAACAGTTGGATTTTGGTTTCATCTGACCAGAGCACCTTCTTCCACATGTTTGGTGTCTCCCAGGTGACAAACTTTAAACAACACTTTTTATGGATATTTTGGAGAAATGGCTTTCTTCTTGCCACTCTTCCATAAAGACCAGATTTGTGCAGTGTACGACTGATTGTTGTCCTATGGACAGACTCTCCCACCTCAGCTGTAAATCTCTGCAGTTCATCCAGAGTGATCATGGGCATCTTGGCTGCATCTCTGATCAGTCTTCTCCTTGTTCAAGATGAAAGTTTAGAGGGACGGCCGGGTCTTGGTAGATTTGCAGTGGTCTGATACTCCTTCCATTTCAATATGATTGCTTGCACAGTGCTCCTTGGGATGTTTAAAGCTTGGGAAATCTTTTTGTATCCAAATCCGGCTTTAAACTTCTCCACAACAGTATCTCGGACCTGCCTGGTGTGTTCCTTGGTCTTCATGATTTTATCTGCGTTTTGAACAGAACCCTGAGACTATCACAGAGCAGGTGCATTTATACAGAGACTTGATTACACACAGGTGGATTCTATTTATCATCATCAGTCATTTGGGACAACATTGGATCATTCATAGATCCTCACTGAACTTCTGGAGTGAGTTTGCTGCACTGAAAGTAAAGGGGCCCAATAATATTGCACGCCCCACTTTTCAGATTTTATTTGTTAAAAAAGTTTGACACATCCAGTACATTTCATTCCACTTCATGATTGTGTCCCACTTGTTGTTGATTCATCACAAAAAAATAAAATTTAATATTGTTATGTTTGAAGCCTGAAATGTGGCAAAAAGTTGAAAAGTTCAAGGGGGGCGAATACTTTCACAAGGCACTGTACTTTCTGCTTTGACTTTGCCATCTCCTTGCTTGCTCTACATTGCATCTCCTTATATTCCTGTCTCCTCTTTTCAGTCCTCTCACTGTCATATTTCTTCTTGGCTATTTTTTTTCTTTGAATAGCTTCCTGCACTTTACTATTCCACCACAAGGTTTCCTTATCATCCATTCTCTGTCCAGATGACACACCAAGTACCTTCCTACCTGTCTCTCTAATTACTGTTGCTGTAATAGTCCAGTCATTTGGAAGCTCTTTCTTACCACCCAGAGCCTTTAACAGCTCCTCTCTGAATTTCTCACATTCTTCCTTCTTCAGCTTCCACCATTTGGTTTTCTTCAACCAATCTCCCTCAGGTTTCCTCTTCTACACAGAATGTAGTCGACCTGAGTACTCCTTCCTCCACTCTTATAGGTCACTCTATGTTCCTCCTTCTTTAAGAATAATGTGTTAACAACAGCCATTTCCATTCTATTGGCAAAATCCACCATCTGTCCTTCCTGGTTTCTTTCCTTGACACCAAACCTACCCATCACTTCCTCATCCCCTCTGTTTCCTTCACCAAAATGTCCATTCAGGTCTGCTCTGATCATCACTCTCTCCTCCCTGGGAATAATTTCTATCACTTCATCCAAATCTTTCCAAAATGTATATTTCTCCTCCACATCACATCCAACCTGTGGAGCACAACCACTGACAACTTTTAGCATCAGAACTTCTATCTGTCTTCAGACTAAGGGTTGAATGACTACATATTTTTAAAAGTTGACTTCAACATGATAAAAGTCGAGTTGACATCGACCTAGTCGATGTGACGTCATAGGAACTCAAGACGCTATTCACACACAATTTTTTTTTATTATTTACAAAACAAAAGAACAACAAAATATTGGACCATAGACAGTATTTACCATTTAGCATACTGCAAATAAGTCACAGGAAAACCAAAACTATTATTAAGGTGCAAAATTTAGTTTTATTTTATTTAATCCACTAAACAAAATAAACCATTACGGTGGTGGTGCGCCCCCCTGTTTTTATTTTTTATTTTATTTAGTGGATTAAATAAAATAAAAAATTATCCACCACCGCACACAGTGAGCGGCGTGGACTCTCCACCAGCAGTGGATTCCATGCACGGCACATCGCTCACAGTGGTGGATTCTGTGTGGATTGCTCTCTTCAAGAATCCACCATCGTGCATGGTGTAAGGTGGTGGATTCTCCACCAGCGGTGATGCGCCCCCGTTTTGATTTTTATTTTATTTAGTGGATTAAATAAAATACAAATAAAAACAGCGGGCGCTGGTGAGATCCCACCATGGATTAAATAAAAAACTAAAACAGTGAGGCGGGCGGTGGTGGGATCCACCACAGGTGATTGAACCGTAAGAGTCATCTTTAGTGAAATACTTCCACAATTTCTACCCGTTTGGCAAGACTTGGCCTGCTCCTCGCCTTCCATCTACTAGGAAGAATCCGATTTGTAGCAAACGCCTGGTGCTGATCATGTAACTCGTGACACAATCACTGACAGTGATTCACCGTGATTTCAACGTGAAATGTATAAACTCGCGAGATGCCCTAGAATCGACTAGTTGACTAGTCTATTCAACCCCTACTTCAGACACATCACCCTATCTGACTCTTTTCATCTCTACTACATTCTTTGCCATCTCCTCCTTCAGGACCACCCCTACTCCATTTCTCTTTCTATCCACACCATGGTAAAACAGTTTGAACCCTGCTCCAATGCTGGGACCCTTGCTCCCCTTCCAACTGGTCTCTTGGACACATAAATCATCTACCTTCCTTCTCTGCATCATACAAGCCAGCTCTCTACCATTGCCTGTCATTGTCCCCACATTTAGAGTTGCAACCCACAGTCCTACATTCTTGACTTTCCTCTTCTCCCTCTGTCTCCTGACACATTTCTCTTCTCATGGTCTTCGACTAACAGTAGAACAATTTCTGCATTCACCGTTTGTCAACAGCAGCAGTGGCGGTCGTTGTTAACCCAGGCCTCGACCGATCCGATATGGTTTCACTTTGATGAACTTGCATTATAGTTTTTGGTACAAGTGTTTTACGCCGGATGCCCTTCCTGACACAACCCTCGCCATTTACCTTGACTTGGGACTGGCACAAGAGATAGACTGGCTTGTGCCTGGTCTAATTCCAGAAACCATTCAATAAAATTCTTCTGTTGGTTCTTCAGATGTTTTGTTACCAGATATAATAACTGATATCATCACCCTTTCACATTTGATCTGTAAAAGGTTGGTCAGGAACCTCATTAGTACATACATATTCTTGCCTAACTGACCTGGCAGAAGACGAACCCTCCAATAAATGCGAAGGCATCGCTCCTCTTTACGGAAGCCACGCTGGCACTTGCAGGCCAACAGTGAGGGGTGTTTGGCCAACAGGTCATCCTGCCTCTCCAGGCACTCAGAGGCCACTTGTTCCCCCAGGGTGGAGACCTCTGCATCAGCCGCACACAGCTCCAGGCCGTGGTACAGCGCCTCACACTGCGGATCAGTGGAGCACAGACGATGGGCTTCAACACAGTCGGTCACTGGAGGAGGGAAGGGAAACGTTTGAGCTGGGGAGGGCAGCACACCTGAGAAAAGACAAAATGCAAACCATTAGTTACATACAGAAGGGGCGGGGAACAAACAGAAACTAACAACATCCTGTTAGAGCAGATGGAGGCAACACATGGCCTGAGGGCCAAAAGTGGCCCTTCAACAATCACCATTCGGTCCCCAGTATCCTTTACTCAAAACAACGTTTAAATGAGTTGACAAAAACCTGCATTTTAACAATAAAACTGAGGTCTAAATTAAACATTTTGGACAAACGCATTGCAAACTTTTGGATTAAGGTACGCTAAAACCATTTTTTTAAGTTGTGTTTCCAGAACTAGACTAAACCTTTTCTTCTTCTTCTTCTTCCTGCTACTGCTCCCTTCTTCAGGGGTTGCCACAGTGAATTAACTCGCACAAAGACTTTTTTTATTTACCCTTTATTTATACAGGTAGTCTCATTGAGCCACAAGAACTCATTTTCAAGAGAGACCTGTTTAGGGAGCAGATGGGGGTTAAGGGCCTTGCTCATGGGCCCAGAGTGGGACGAATGAGGGTTGGGGCAGGTGTGGTTGCTTCACCTACCCCACCCACATTTTTGATGTTGTCGTACCGGGGCTTGAACCGGCGATCTTCCGATCACTGGCCCACCTTCTCTCACCTCTGCGCCACCATTCCCCCAAACTAGACTTAACCCTAAAGAGTCCAACAATTAAACATGCTTCTTTTTTCTTTTGCATATTTAAGTAAATAAAAAAATTGTCACAACAGCCAGTTTACGGAAAATATGTCATACTTATAACAAGTTATTTTTTTATTAAACCAGCTAACTTTGCTACAAGAAAACAAATAATAATAAGGGAATAATAAAAATGTTCAAGATACACGTTAGAGTCGACCGTGACTCCTTTAAGGTTGCTTCCTTGAAGTGGATCACTGACGTTGCAGCTGAGTAGATACAAACTCACAAAAAATGAACAAAACATACTTTACTTGTAAAAAAAATAAAATTTAAATATAAACATGCAGAATTCTGTGAGTCATATTCTTAATTGTGGAAAAATTAATTCAGTATCCCACTTGGAGACAAAAGTTAAAATGAGTATAAAATATAGCTGTTTATTATATATTTAATTGTGACTCACTGAATTTTTAGTAAAACAAATACTTTAAATTTATTTTGACTTAAAATACTTATTATGTTTTCAAAAAGATTCACCATTCTCTTCCCAGCAACTTGTCTTAAAGGTATTCCAAAGTATTTCTGTTGGATTTAAGAGTAAAATTGAACTATATGGTTGGAAGTTGGATTAATCAATTGGCTAAAAAAACAAAAAAACATTAGCATGACCTAATAACATGATTCATTTGCCTTTTCTGTTGTGGGAATAAAAACCCAATAAAATATTATTTATTATTTTATTTCATTAACCTTTATTTAATGAGGCAAAGGAGGTTTAATAAAAGCCCAAGGCCTCTCGCTTTTTCAAGGGAGGCCTGGGCCTGAAGGCAGACTAGCAGGTTTAAAGGAGGAAACCCAAGAACCCCAAGAAAACCCACGCAAACATAAGGAGAACAAACAAACTTTTATTCAGCATTGCTTTCATAAACATTAATATACAATCTAAAAAAAGTTAAATCTGGTCCTCTGGACATTCAAAAAAACA